AGAGAGAGAGAGAGAGAGAGAGAGAGAGAGAGAGAGAGAGAGAGAGAATCAAGTCCTACACCAGGGCAAAAGAGGATTTCTCAGGGGTACTCTGGCCCTTCAGAACCTGCAACTTCTAACTAACTCTGAAACCCATCATCTCAAATACCTTCTCAAAGACCCCATTCCCTCAGGTCCGAGTCCGTTCCTAGCATTCACAAACACGGACCTTCACTCAGGCAGTCTGGACACCGGGCACCACCTACGCCACAGAATCCACCCACAGATCCAACAGTTCCCTCATCCTCTCTAGCTGTGTGAGTTTAGCCAAGATTTTTTTTTAAAAAAAAAAAGTGAGTCATTTCCCTTAACTCTTAAGTGTGGGAAACAGTAGTATCTAACTCACAGGAGCATGGCCCCAATGGAAACTAACGTAGGTAAAGTGCCTTAGAAAATTACTAAAAGACAGTGAAGGCTGGGGAGTCAACACCATCTGTGAACCGCTTGCCACACTAACATAAGGACTTGAGTTTGACCCCCAAAACTCACATGAAAAATCAGGGCTTTTGCGTTTATAACCCCATGATGAGGAGGCAGAGGCAGGTTCTCGGGGATGGATGACCCCAGGCCAATGATAGACCTGACCTCAAAACAAACAACAAACAAACAAACAGGTGGATGATGTCTGAGAACAGCACCCAAGGTTGTCCTATGGCCGCTACACACATGAATATGAATATGAAAACACTCACACAAAGAAACACTAGAAAGATAGCTCCAATAAGTGTTCTTGGCAGACTCTGTTCACAGAGGCCACAGAAAACTAGGCATGCATTGGTGGCTGTAAAGAACTTTCAGGCTCGTAGAGACATGAGCTACATGTTTACACACAGCGCCTGACTGACATGGAAGGATCCAGGCGGAGGAAAGATGCCACACTGCCCATCCTTCTGCCCTCCCCTGCCTCCTGTCCAGCTCCTTCCCATAACAGGGATACCTGGTCTTGAACTCACTGCTGAGCGGCTCATTGATTCGCATGTGTATCCAATGGTGAGATTGCTATGCTTTGAAGATAGGCAACCATGAAAGGCTCTTTCCTTACTGGTCAAAGGGAAGGCAGCTACTGCCATCCTCAGACTCATGGTCCTTAATCCTGGCCAGCTGACAGCAGACGGGAACAGAGGTTTCAGTGAAGGACTAACGCAAATGCAATACTTCATTTCTTGTTGCTTTTCTCCCTTGGAGAATCGCCAGAATGGAGTAGTTACCCATAATCCAATGTTTTATATCCTCCTGTTGCTCTGGGCTGGGAGCTTACTTCTCAGAGTGACTGTAAAGCTTGTCTTGGTAGCTACAGTCCACCTGATGCTAGACTTCATAAAACCAGATTCTACAACAGACAGTTCATTCTCTCCAGGTATGCAAATGGACACAGAGAGTTTGGCTTGTTCTTCACTAGTTAAGTGAGAATACAGGAGCTCACACACCACCTTTAAGTCATTTGGAAGTATAGGCTGGTTATATACAGAATATGTTTTCAGAAAAAACATGCTTAGGAATATTTATCCTTTCCCAAAGTGATAGAGTCTGTTTCACTTGTTTCTCCACCCTTTGCTCTTTCTTCCTGGGCTCAAGGTCGTCTAGCCTCCCTTGCAGCTAGGTCATTACTTAATTATGCTTGTAATTGCCAATGAGTAAGAGAAGCAGCCTCCAAAAAGATACTTATCCTAATCTTTTCATTTTCTTTACCTCAATTGTGTGTGTGTGTGTGTGTGTGCGTGCACGTGTGTGTGTGCACGTGTGTGTGTATGGATAGGCATATACCACACTGTGCATATGGAGATCAAAGGATAACCTTGGTTATCAGTCCTCTATTTCCACCTTGAGATAGGGTCTCTAGTTTGCCGCTGCATCACAAGCTTCCGAGGATTTCCTTGACTCCATTTCCCATCTCCCCATAGGAGCACTGGGATTACGGACAGATATGCTACTGCACCTTGTGTTACATGGGTTCTGATGCTCTGGACTGCACCTTGTGTTACATGGGTTCTGATGCTCTGGACTCAGGTACTGCACATTTGTGGTGCAAGCGCTTTACCCACTGAGCCAACTCTCCAGCACTCTTCCCTCAGTCTTGAACAAAGACCGAAAAGCCACCAACCTTCTATTACATGGATGTGAACAAGGTCTTAAAGGATAGCAGAGCAACAAGATGGAAGGAACATAGGTCTCTGAGTGACAACTTGGAACCAAACTGCCTCACCGACCCCTGAACAGCCAGACTCTAGGCCACCAAACTTGTGTGGGGGAGGAAGGGGTTTCAATAATCTCTTTCTAAAAAATATATTTTCCCAATCCATTCTCTCCACTTTCCTTAATATAATAATTACATTTTTGAAGTGGATATAGTTTGTCTTTTTTAGCTAAAAGGTTGCCCTTCCCAGGCTACTTTACAGCTCTGTGTGACCACATGACTAAGAAACTAAAATTGGTAGATGGAATTGGTAGTAGTGTCCTTAGTAAGCAGGCGGCATTTTTTCAACCCATGCTGTCTTTCTCGCCATCTGGAATGTGAAGGTAATGAGCAGGGTTCAAGCTTCTACTTGGGATCATTAAGTTACAAGGTAAGAATTACTCCCGAGTAGAAGTTCTGGCCCCAGGGTCCCTCAAGACCAGAGACTCTTCATGCCAGTTCTGGACTATGAATTTCTAGATTTCCTTATACGAGAGAGAGAGAGAATTCTATCTTATCAAAGATATTAACATTTGCATTCTGCAAAAAACTGAACCTAATTAAGAGATACACCCATGAACAGATATCCTCATTTCAACCCCTAGTTTGATTCTTGGCTCCTATTTACAAAAGTAAAGGAAAATAACTCCCCTCAAAGCTGCGGAAGTAAGAGACCAGTTTCCAATCCTTTTATCAGAGTGGATTTGCCCTTTGTGCTCTTTGAAACAGCTCTACAGGGAAGCTGGCTAAGAAACCCCAGTCTCTAGGCCCAGATGGTCCCAACAATGGTGTCTCACACTAGGAGACTACAAGTGTGGTGGCGGCAGATGTGAGTTGGACTGGGGAGAGAGCTATGACCCAGCTTTGGTGCCTAGGCAGTGAGACCAACAGAAAGACGGAGCGCCAGTACCTGCAAATTTAGGTCAATAGAGACCGACAGACCGGGAGGTAACTGGGCAACCGGTCTCTTTAAGTTGGGTTTTCTGTTGCTTGCCTGCTGCGCTGGGCTCCGGTACCCCAGGCCAGATGGCGCCTCCTCCGTGGCAGGGAGGATGGTGAAGGCCAGACGCTGAGAACTGGGAAAGCATAGGCTTAGCATCTCCTGTCCACAGCTTCGCAGGACTTGAGTCTCCCGGTCCTAGTCTCCCCACATATAAAAAGGGGAGCAGGCGCTGACAGCTCCTCCAGACTTCCCTCCTGCAGGCGGGGTCTGAACACCGAGCTCCCCAGCCTAGACTCAGCAGTGCACATCTGTCTCCACTGACATCCTTGCGGACCCCTCCTGCACTCCTCGGTTCCCCAGGTCTCCCCTCACCCTCCGGTAGCCTCACCCTCCTCCGACAAGTAGCGCAGGTCGTAGAACTCGCCGGCGAAGGTGCCGTAAGAGGAGTCGTGGCGTTGCACTGCCTCGTCAGCGCCCGCGTCCCCTCGCGCGCGTCCCCGGGGTCCCCGGCCTCCGGGACCCGCGCCGTCGTCCGCGGGGCTGGCGTTGCAAACAGCGAACCCAGTCAGCAGCAGCCTCAGGAGCAGCGACGCCC